GAGCACCGCCGGCCTCAAATCGCAAGTGATCATTTCAAAACCAGTCGTGGTCGTGGATGGAGTCGCAGAGGGGGCCCAGGGCTGCCGTTTCCAGGTCCTCGAGGACGGCGCCTGGTGCTTTGTGTAGGGATAAAATTACCAGAGGAATCTGGTGACTCTGGTTTTTCCACTGGACTGCTGTACTTAACCACCTGCACAGGAGCCAGAGAGGTTTCTGTGAAGTTGATCAGCCCGTACAGTCGCGAGGGTTTGTTTTTTTCCTCGCTCCTTCTCCAGCGGCTGTTCTGGGGTGAGTGTGGGGTTTACCAGGCATGCAGTCTGAACCAGGAGCAGAGGGCAGTCTGAGAGGATCAGCTGCTTTTGGGCTGAACAGCCCGTAGATTATTTCCACATCTGTGTTAGCTTTGGCTTGATCCCACAGATTTGCAACAGCTGTTGGGAAGCGGAGCAGAGATCCCCTCTTTAAATGGATGATCAAATCCTCAGAGTGCCGAGTATGTTATTTCTATGTCATCCTCTTCACAGCAGGAAAAACAGCTTTTAAAAGTTGCTGAGGCAGCACTCTGCCCTGCTGCCTGAGCTATCATCCCATCATCCTGCGGTTTCAGAGCAAGTCATAATTTGCTTTCTGCATCCCACGCCCAGCCCGACACAGGATCCTTTGCGAGGTGCGCGGTTGTGCAGGTCTTGTACAAGGGATGCCTTTACTCCTGGGCTCCCCTTCCAGCCAGCAGACGTACACCGACCGGGGCGGAGGAGCCGCTCGTCTCCTTTCCAGGGATGTGCAAACCCTTGGCATTTTACCCTGAGAAAAACTAACCGGTGCGATAGTTTGCCACGAGACGGATTAGGTCATCCTGGTGTTCGGAGGCTTTAGGTGGAGCTTGGATGTCTTTGCTTGAAGCCGCAGTTCGGCTGCAAAATAGTGGCGTGGTGTGGGAATCCTGTAGCGAGCTATCTTATCCAAAAAGCCCAGCTAAAATGTGCCAGGCCTATTTCCTATCAAGGTTCTGCGCTGTCAGGTCAGACCTGCAGCCGTCAGGCTTCTTTCAAAGTGTCTGACGGGCTTTGGAAAGCCGAGTCTGGCTGAAGAGGGCCAGGCCGGTGGGAATGGTGGTAGATCCTGGCACTCGTCCTGCAGCGCATGCGTTTCTCGTTCCCCATCAGCTTTCCTAGCGCACAGGAGAGTCATCCAACCAAACTGCTCCCTGCTCCCACTTTAAGCAGCACATTCGTCTACTTTCCGATGCAGACAGCAAAATTAATATGGTTAGTGCATCGAAACCACTAATTTGCAATTCAAGCCTTTTATAAATGGGCTTAAAATGGCAACCCGGTTCCAGCTGTCTCAGGTACAATTTGTGTGCTTGTTGGTGCTGTGTGATGGGTTTCAGTGATAACCCAGGCAGAAAATACGTTGCACATAGCAAGCACTGCTCAGCACGCATGAAGCTCTGAAACGTTTGGCGTGGCCTGGGGTGGCTGGGTGGTGGGGGCTGGGAGCGGCACGGTGCTTGCAGCTTTCGTGAAGGTGCGAGGTAAAACCTGGCAGTTTTGGTTGCCTTTTCTCGTTCACCCAAGGTGTGACTGAGCGTGACATGACGTTCACTGGGTTGAGGTCTCAGAGGCCGGTGATGGATGCGCTCCCCAGCAGCAACAATGTCATGTTGACTTTTTTTGATGCTTTTGGACCCTTTTGACACACACCTAACTTCAAGCTTGCTCGAGGCGTTCTCCTGTGGACCCTCAATGACGAGTTAGAAGTGTCAACCCTCCATTTCACGGGGACAGAGTATCTGGGTTGCAGATTACCTGTACGACGGATGTCTGGGGAGCCAAGACTAGTCTCCACGGGTTGGGCCCAGTGGGGCCTGGTGGCATACACAGTTTGAGAAGACCCAGAGCCAGTTGTTGGCCAGAGCTGCCATGTCTGATGGATCCCATAGACTGCCTGGAGCCAGCCATCCATCCACCGCTCGCTCCGGTGCTTCCAGCAAGAACTGGTTTGCTTTGGTCTTATCCCCTTATCTTGGGTGTCCAAGCCTCAGCACAGAGAGTCGATGCAGCCTCTTGGCTCCGAAATGAAGACCCTGCTGCTTCCCCAGCCAAGCAAAACTGCCAGGACCCGCCGTAGTGCCCCAAGGGGAGTGCTGCCTGTATGCAAAGGGCTTGGCAAAACGAGGTGTAATGTAAGCAACTATTTAAAGAGAACGATCCAATTGCTAGTTGTAATTTCCTTATTGTTTGCAACACCCTCTTAAATGCCTGTGATCCTTATAAAGAGCTTTTCCCCACCTTTTAAACTTCACAGAAGTGGATTTTACCTGCTGTGGTTTGTGAATCAGCATTATGAATGAGTCTGCTTGTCCCAAGAAATATGTCTGTTGGAGATGGAAGGCTGGTGGGCAGGACACAAAGTGTTGCCTGTCTCTGGGTCCTAGTAGATGGAGGTTAATAAAGTCTTCCTAGATCAGTATTAATGCTTTCCTTCAGACCCGAGGGGGTTTTGCTGACACCCCATTGCAAGCAGCCTGGCTCATGCCACTCATTCAGGTGTATCTTCTGTAAAAATGTGTTGGAAGAAATATTTAATAGAGTGGGATTAAAACCTGATTGTGGATGAGACTTTCCCCTCAGCTAGATCTCGTGAGCAAACTGAGGGATGCGGTTTGCTCTGCCTGCGCGCTGCGTCCCTGTCCTGCCCTCGTTTGCCTGGTTCCCCAGGTCATTCCATCTCGGGAAATGGGGTTGCCTTTATTCGGAAATCGGGGACGGCGATCCACGGAGCCATGGCTTTGTTCTCTGGGAAAACACCTGGGTCCAGTTTCCATGTGAGATGCTGATGGGAAGCAGCAGCGTGTTGTGTGAGGGTTTCTCCGGCTCTCATGCTTGAGCCCTCGCTGGGACTGGGTGGGATTCTCGGTCCGCTCCTGCCCTTCTCCCATTTCTGGGTTTTATTCTCCAAACCCCAGCGAGCTGTAAACACCCAGAGCCTGGGGGACTTCGGAGAGCAGAGCTTAGGGGAAGGTGGTGATTCATTTCCTTCCCCTCTGGCTCTCTGCTACGATTTGGCTTTTGTTTAAGAGTTTGATAATTCACTGCTGAGCTGTTTAGGTTGAAATGCTTGGAGAACTGTAAGTAAGTGCAGTGACGACAGCAGCTCCTTGGTGCTTGGTGGGGAGACTGCTTGGTGGGGAGACAGGCTCCAGCTGCAGCCAGCCCACACCTGCAGGCTGGGCCATGCCAGGAGCCGTCATCGTCCTCTTCCTCACCGTCCAGCGAGCTTCTGTACGTAGGTTAAGCTCCAGATGATCCTGTGCCAGAAGCATATGCTGGGAAATGTCAGCCCAGGACCGTGTGACACCCAGAGTGCTCAGCCACCGGCGTCATGCAGAGCCAATCTCGCTGCAAAGCGTGGTGACCAGCAGACAGCAACATCTAGACTGGGACGCCCAGAGCGTGGCCAGCACAGCCTGCGTGGCTTCTGTCCGTAAGCGACAGGGACCACTGCGAGAGCGGGACAGACGAGCAGGGCTGCACAGCCCCCAGGCTGGTGTCAGACCTGCTGTTCAGCTCCTGGGAACAAACCCAGGAAGCCCCAGTTGCAGAATTGTGTTTCTGTGTGTTGGCCTTGTTTTCAGCGTGGCTGTGTCTTGGCAGGGGTTGCTGGTTTGTTTAATGAACATGGAAATGGGAGTGGAGGAAGCAGCCAGGGAAGTGTTACAAATTGGTTCAGAGTAGTGGCATTGAAAGTATTTGTGCTCACCATGTCTTTTAAACCAAGACCTCAAAGTGTGGTAAATATTATCCCCATTTCACTTGCAAAGAGGCAAATTCAGCGGGAGGAGAAATTTTACCTGCGCTCACAGGCAAGCCCACAGCAGGCGTGAGGCAAATGCTGGTCTCGCCTGCGGTCCCGAGGGGATGGTGTTGATGGAGAAGGTCTCTGCGGGCGCTGGAGAGATGCCCTATGTGCCTTCACACATGTTGCTGAAGCACCACCTCCGTTTCTGTGCTTAGCTCTGATCTCTGGTCTGAAAGGTGCTGACACCCCAAAAATCGTCCTCTTCACGCTGCCACATTTACCTTTCTTCTCTCCTCTCCCAATCTCTCTTACAGCTGAAGCTGTGGAACAAGTACAGAGTCTCCAACATTCCTTCCCTGATATTTATCGATGCCTCCACCGGGAAGGTGGTTTGCAGGAACGGCCTCTTGGTAATCCGAGATGACCCAGAAGGTAAGACCTGGGGTCCCGTGCGCCGCAGAAACACTGGCACACGGCTGCCTTTTCATTTCAGTTAATTTTTAATTGCCTTGGAGGGAGGGGGGAAAGGAAACAAGCAACTATTGTCATACTTAACTAATCAAGGCATGAAATTTTCTGCATCATTCCTGCCAGATCTTGTGTTTTGGTTTTGCTTGTTGAAAAGAACAAAGATTTCCCCTCCAGGATTTTTGTCTGAAGTGCTAATGAGGAAAAAGTGAGACTAACGGAAACACTAGGTTTGGATTTTTCCCTGATGGAGGCACATGGACAGACAGGCCAAGGGCCCAGACTTGCTGTACACTGGGAACAGAATCCTTCTGAAATGAGTGGGTCTTTGTCACTGACATCACATTCGGTTGGGATAACAACTTCCCCGTTATTTACAAATGCGACAGAAAAATGCTACCGTTCTCCGTTTCTGAGGTTTACTGTGTTGGGGGTTGATGTTAAATCCATCTTCTTCCAATTAGCAAAAACCATAACGAGCAAAATGTGTGCCCTTACTCACAGACACTTCAGACCCATCATTCAGCGGCTGGGCTGCCCATGCACACATTTCACTGACCCATCGTTCCTTCCTGCAGTAGATACTGAGCTCAGCGACCGAGTCGTTAATTCAGGTGGCAGGAACTGTGCAGCAGTATGCACTGTGGCCTGAGCCATCTGTCATGTCTCCTCCTCTCTGGCTGAACACACGATGGATTGCTGGGGGAGCTGGCAGCAGATGCTTCGGAGCATGTGTTTGTGTGTACGCACACATGCTTGCTTTGGGGTGCGGAGGGTTAGTCTAAGTTTAGTTTATATATAGGGTTTTTTATAGATATAAAACCCATCTTTTACATCTATATATAAGGTTTTATAAATAAATAAATGTATGTATGTGTATAAAAATATATGGTTAGTATCAGTATAAGGCAAATAGTCTGACTGCATTCCTGAACACGTACCACCTTGCCCTCTGTTCTTAAAACAAATGTTGATAAGGAAAAGATGCCTCATCAGGCACAAAACCCGAGCGGGCTTCGTCAAGCCAAAGGTGCCGCTACTCAGGTGAGGGTGCAGCCTGTCTGTGAGAAAGAGGTGGCCCTGGCTCCGATGCAAAGCTTGGCTTCCCTGGCTCCCCCATATCTTTGCAGAAGGTGGAATGGGGTTTTTCGGTGGAACTTTTTGAAACTGTAAATACTGCATGCCCATCTTGCTGTTCTGTGTCTTCTTTCCACCCTCACCCCGACCCCCTCTCCAGGTCTGGAGTTTCCCTGGGGGCCAAAACCCTTCAGTGAAGTTGTTGCTGGGCCCCTGCTAAGGAACAACGGCCAGACGCTAGACAGCAATGCCCTGGAGGGCTCGCACGTTGGGGTCTATTTCTCCGCGCACTGGGTGAGCAGCAGGCACTTTGCAGAGCAGTTGGAGGGAGCTCGGGGGTGCTCTGGGGACCCCCCTGCAGCTCTGGCTGCAGAGCTCTGCGGGAGAGTAAAGACCTCGGGCCGGTGGGTGGTGAAGTGGTTAAGAAGGCTCAAGCGGTTGGGGAAAAAGCCACAGCATTGTAGTGGCCTGTCATCCTCAGCTGGCCCTTCAGAAAGGGAAGAGGGGTCAGATTTTGGAAATGAAAGAGGTCTTGTAGGAAACTTATGGGCCATAAGCCCCAGCCGTGTTCCGGGCTGCTACCCAGCACTCCAGCAAAGATGAGGGCACGTCTGTCTTTGCATGGTCACTGGGTCATCTGGACCTGCTGGGTGTGGGTCTGGCCCTGAGGAGCAGACGATGTCCTTACGTACGTGTGGTGTTTTGCAGTGCCCGCCGTGCCGAAGCCTCACGAGGGTGCTGGTGGAGTCCTACCGAAAAATCAAGGAGGCGGGCCAGAAGTTTGAGATACTCTTCGTCAGTGCAGACAGGTGAGGAAGCACCAACACCCGGGGCAGGCAGAGCTGCCTGTCCCCAGGCTGGGAAGCTCCAAGCATTGCAGGTTCGATTTGAGGAGGAAATTTAATTTGGGGCAGAGCAGGTATCGGAAAGGTCCTTTGCCCACTGTCCAGCGGCGAAGTGCAGAGGGGGGTTAGGGAGGGCAGCGGTGGGCTGAGAGCAGGCTCTGTCCATCGAGCAGCTCTGTATCACGCTTTGTGGCTTGTGGGTCTGAGGTCTGAAAGGTACTCAAGCTGCTACTGTCACCACAGCTTGATATTCAGATGCCCTAGAGAGTTTTAAATACTTTTAGCGGATAAAAAATGCACCATGGGCCCCTTCTTAAGGGACTGGGGGGTTTAAATTTGACCTAGCTCTCCCCAGGTTGTGTCTGCCAGCAGCACTTACCGGTGGGCGTTGGTGGAAGGGCTAAAGGGCTTTGGAGGCCGGGTTGTTCATGAGAAGAGGAAAGCCTGGCAGGCGGAGGGGCTGTGCTCTGCATCCCGTGCCCTGTTCCCCTCGCACAGGTCAGAGGACTCCTTCAAGCAGTATTTCAGCGAGATGCCCTGGGTAGCTGTGCCCTACGCCGACGAGGCCAGACGGTCGCGCCTGAATCGACTCTATGGCATACAAGGTAGGAGAGGCCACGCCGATGTACAGCTCTCCTTTCTGCTCCTTTGTTGAATATTTGTAATGTCTCCTCTTGTTTAATTGAAACAAGAAAACAGCAAAGCAAGGCACGGTGCCCCAGGCAGAGCCGCCTCATGTTTCTGCTCTCCACAAGCTCACATTCCTACCACCTGCCAGGCAGGCTGTTAGTTGAAACAGGACTTCCATAAACAACCTAATTCTTCCTGGAAACTTGGAAGCTGTTCTTGGCTTGGATGTTTTTTGCCTAATTACTGATATATTTATTTTGCTTTCTCTTGAAGGTTTAAATTTCGTTTTCTTGCTGTTTTATGTAATGCAAAGGCAGGCTATCTTTCTTTGCAGAGGCTGAGGAAGATGGCATCTGGTTTATGTTAGTGACATGAATTACAGAAGAGTGTGTGTTTGATGTAAACCATGGCTTCGCCTTTACTGTACGTGCCAGTGCCAGAATTCCAGCAGCTCCGTCTGCTCGGAGGGGCAAGGGAGAGGCTCTGTCTGTCTGGGTGCTGTCAGAGTGTCCTGAAGACTATAAAAGCTCGCAGCAGCCCTCCTGGGGACTGGCATCTTGTTCCTGCAGGGGACAAACCGCGGCACAGAGACGTGCAAGGTGACTAGCTCGCAAGGAGGCCTTCTGTACGTAGAGTTTCTCCCTGCAGTTAAACGTTACTGCCACATGTCTGCTTCTTAACCATTTCCACGTGGCATCAGCGAGGTGGGCACAGGCTGGCAGAGGGGTAATACAATCTGGAGGGGAGGAGGAGTGTTGCCACAGGCGGCCGAGGGCTTGGGGAGAGGGACAGGAGGAATAATCCCTGCTTGGGTTCCTCTTCGAACACCCCTTCTGGGGTGAATTCAGGTGCTGTCGCTCAGCTCTGTTTCCTGACCTTTAAACCGAGAATAACCTTTTGCCTACTTTAAATAGCCATCAGTTTGCTGCTTAATTACCCTCCCATGAAGTGAGAGCTTTCCAAATTCATCTGTCTTTCCCCGGCCCGCTCACAACCCTCTCCAGCGCCGGTTTCGGCTGAGCGCTGCAGGGCGGCTGCCAGTTTCACTCGGACTTCCTGTAAATAAGGTGTCCAGGTGTGGGTACTGGAGCACCAGGCATGCTGTAGCCAGGGAAACACTGACAACAGCTTTCCCTCTAACTCCGGCCGCTGGCTCCTTAAATGTCTCTCTTCATTGTGTGCTGACCTGAAAATGTAAATATTTGCTGTTCCCCTGTGCCCTGACCCCCTTCCTCTGCCAGGGAAGCTCCCATATTACCCCTGCGTGTCAGCTGCTCTCCCAGGGATGCTGACCTTGGGATTTGGGCGTGTCTGAGTGCAAACTCTTCTGCTTATCTATCCTGGTTTTCCTGTAAAGTGGGAACATCTCCACAAGGATGAACTGCCATCCCACAAAGTCACATTGAAATGTGGAGGCGGGCTGATGTGCACCCTGCGCAGGAGGCATCGCCGTCCCCCCTCCCTTCCCACCCGGGCGCCGCACAGGCTTTGCAAGTCTGGGCTGGGCTCTGTTTCCCCACCGTCGTCTGGGATGGAGCAGGGTGCCATGGGGAGGGTGCCAGGGCACCATGAGACAGGGGAGAGGGAGGGCTGGAGGCAAACCCTCGTGCTGCTCCCGGGGGTTCCAGGTTGTCGCTGATCCCTGCGCAGGCAGCAATTCGGGGTCCTCCCCGCGGTGTTGGGGTTGCCCGCCTGTTTGCAGTCAGGCTTTCGCAGCAGGCTGCTGCACCGGGTGTAGCAAAAGACCTTTGGGGAGACCTTATCGCTCTCTACAACTACCTGAAAGGAGGGTGTAGTGAGGCAGGGGTTGCTCTCTTCTCCCAACTAACAAGCGACAGGACAAGAGGCAATGGCCTCAAGTTGTGTCAGGGGAGGTTCAGATTGGAGATTAGCAAAAATTTCTTTACTGAAGGAGTTGTCAGGCATTGGAGCAGGCTGCCCAGGGCAGTGGTGGAGTCCCCATCCCTGGAGGCGTTCAAAAACCTGTAGATGTGGCACTTGGGGACACGGTTTGGCAGGCATGGGGGTGTTGGGGTCATGGTTGGACTTGATGGCCTGAGAGGTCTTTTGCAACCTTAATGATTCTGTGATTCTGCAAACAGAGTTAAATGGCATGGGCTCAGCTCGTTGCCGCTGGTGGTTATTCTGCCTAAATGAAAAATCGGATCTCTGTAATCTGACTGCCTTTCCCCAGTGCATGGTGCTGATGCTGCCAAGCATCTGTGAAACCCCCTTCGGAGCCGCATCCACGCACCGGTGAGAGCGTGTAGCCCGTGGTGCCTTGGGTTGTGAGCCACAGCGTGCACATGGGGTGGTTTTTCCACTGGTGTTTGTAAGGCCGGGAGCTGAAACAAGAGAAGGGCTTGTCTTCCCTGACTGCTTTAAGTCCCTGAGTGGTGGAAAGCAGCAAGAGAGTCAGATCTTGTGTTGTTTTAGTCCTGTGTTGGCCCCTACAGCATTCAAAAACTCAGTGTAAAATGTGAGTTGAGTTATTGGCCTTTATTTGGGTTTACTTGAATGCCTCTATTCATAACCCATGCGCAGTCAGTGGGCTCTGCCGTACCCACCTGTATTAAATTGCTGCTGGGTGCAGCACTGTCTTGAGAAAGAGTCATGTCTTGTGTCGTGGCTCCGCAGAAATAATTCTCTCTTGTGCGGGCAGTGCCCGGTCTGCATGGTCCTGCCTTAGGTGAAATCCCCTGACGTTAGCTCTCCTTCCAATGGGATGGGGAGCAGGGATGAATTTTAGCTTGGATAGGAATCACCCCTTGTTGTTTTGTATCTGAGGAGACCTTTTGGGTTCCTGAATATTCGCTATGGACTCTGCGGTGTCGCTTTGGGATTTGCAGTCCCCTGGGGGAACTTCCAAAAACTGTTGTTTCACCCCTGTCCCCGTGCTTTAGCCCAGACGCCCGCAGCCCGGTTGGTGGGAGCAGCCTGGAAGTCGCAGTTGTGGGAAAAAAGTGAAAATCAATCAGCAGAAGCCACGTCCCTTCCTGCAGTTGGTGTATTCTGAGTGTTTGCTTCACGTCGATTTTGATTACTCACCCAAAAGACATAGTGCAGATGAGATTTCCATGTCAGATGTGGGTTTTAATATATAAATAAGTAAATGTATTGCCAGGTTCGATAACAGATCATTTTGCCCCTGTGTTTTTATAAAATGCTGGCCCCATGGGAACTGAATCCATTTTCTAATGCATAAAATAAAACTGAGCCTGTCTATGCTAATTCTCATCCAAGCTTATGCAATATTCATTGCAGTGTCTGATCTGTGATTCTTCTTGAGAAGTAAGTTCTGGTGTTGTGACTCGTGGCAATTACCAAAGCCCCCAAAAGGCACTGAAATACAAATAGTGGCTGGGATGAGCAGGGAGGAGGGGGCCGGGGGGGAAGTGTTGGGGTTAGTGGGTGTAAGGTTAACGATGGTTCCCCCTGGTCTGCGCCCTGTGCAGAGAGGACGTGTTTGCTGGGGAGCAGTAGCAAGGTTCGCCTGGGAAGACAGGGCTGATCCTATGGGATGCAACCATGAGCCTGGTAAGGCTGTGTCCTAACGCCAGGGACGCGGCCAGGGGTGTGCTGCAAGGAGCTGAGGACGCAAGGCAGCGATGCTCAGGACCCGGAGCAGATGGGTCGCGGCAGCTTCAGCCCTTGCCAGGCAGGTCCAGAAAGGAAACCAGAGCTTCAGGGCTGGTGAGAAACCTCTGATGCTGAGGAAAGGGTGCAGGGGTTGACCCAGCGCACGTCACGCACCTGCGAACAGGCTGAAAACCCAGCCCCAAGTTTTCTGGTGCGTTCCGTATACTTCCCAAGTGTGCTAAACCCAGGATGAATTATCTTAAAGACTCTATGTTTTCTGAGTCAGTTTTGTATCTGCAGTTGGAGGTTTTAGTGGATGGGTGCTTTGGTGTGTGTGTGTCTGTGTCTGCAAATCAGGTAAAGTCGCAATGCTTTGAATAGTGGATGAGGCCCCTGGCAGCTGTGGGATCCCACTCACAATGATCTAAACTGGACCCTTAATTTTCACAGATCAGCAAAGCTCGTCTGAAATCTCTGCCTTGGTGTGCTGCATTGTTCGGGCTGACGGTCGGCGGGGTACCGAGCTGAAGCCACGTTGCTGGCCTGTCCCTCGTGTATAATGCAGGCCTGGAGAGGACAGAAAAGCAGGCATTTGGGACGGGGGTTGGGAATCGTAAATGGATTAAGATCGGAATCATGTGGGATGCTGATCACCGTAACTTCAGTAGTGGTTTGTGCCTCAAAGGGCAGGGCTAGAGGGAGATTTCCCAATTCCTTCCAGTCTGTTTAACCCATCCCTGCCCTAGAGCTATTTTGAATACCAGTGGGTAATGAATAAGCCTTTTTGTGATACAGAACGGTTTTCTTGGCATACTTTTAGGAACTGCAAGCCCAGCCATCGGGCGCGTTCCGGCACTGCTGCTCTTGCACCGGCAGAAGCGTGCAGCCCCGGCACACGACAGGAATGTGAGCGCGCTGCCGGGCTGGAATGAGGGGAATGCGGCCGCTCGCCCGGACCTGCAGGCAGGCCTGGGACAGACAGACGGCCATGTATTTCCTAGAGAAATGCCGAGAATTCAGAGAGCTCGTGAGTAGCCCACTGTTGTACAAACATGAGGGCACAGTGCCAGGAGTCCAGCAGGGGCAAGTATACTGGGTCCCCCCTGTGCTCAAAGAATGGCTCTGCGGGGTATTTCTAGCAGATGAGCTGTAAAATGAACCTTTGGATGAGGGCAGGAGGATTTGGGTTGCCTCAGTTTGCCGGTTGTGATTCGGGGGATGTTGCTGGGTGATGGAGGAGATGCTGGATAGTGAGCGGATTGAAGCCCGGGCGGTGGGACACAGATGGCTGGCACTAGCACTGGTCGCTTGATCCATCTCTTGGGGCCTGATCCCAAACTCCCCTCTCTTCCTTCCTAGTGGGATGTTTCTTTGTCTCCTTGATGACAGAGGAATGGTGTGCTTTCCAGATGAAGTCACCAACACAAGCCGCTCCTGCTGACTCTCCCGTGACCGTTTTGTGGCTGGAAAGCCTTGTTGGTGCCTTATCAGATGGGACGGTCACCAGCTGGTGTCCACCCTGCCTCACTGCCGGGTTTGAATAGGTGACTTGTGCTAAATTTCCGCTGCAAGCACATCCACCTCCCTTTAGCGAGGGCAGCGGCCAAGTGAGGGGGATGCCAGGTTCGTTTGCAAGCGCTGAATGCGGTTTAGCTGTGTGACAAAGTCTGCTGGCGTTAGTGTGTGTAGTCCCGCTCCGTCTCCACTTGCAGAGGTGTGCGCTCTCTCTTGGGTATTCCTGGGGGCATCCATGGCCCTGAGCACTAAATCACCACTGGTAGTGCTGGTCTGGGGGCCTTTCCTCCACTGGGTGCCTGCCTCGCCGGGCTCAGGCAGAGCGAAACAGCGTCCAAACCAGGTAATAATGTTCATGACTTGTCAGACGCATCCCTGTGCTCTGGAAACGACTGGGCAGTTAGCACCGGGAAGGGGTGTGGGGGTTCATGGAGGAGTTCCTGGCTGCAAAATATATGGCGTACCTTCTGGGAAGGAACACACCCTGCTTCCTGGCCACCGTTGTCTGCGGTCCGCCCTGCAAAAAGGTTTGTGTGTGTTCTGCGGACCGGGGACTGGGGTCTTCCAGCAGCCACATCTCGGCACCGGGGCAATGGTGCCTGTGGGGCAAGAGGGTGCTTGCAAGGAGGGTCCCAGTGCAGTGTGGTGGGGTTTGCATCCTGGAGGATCAGTGTCAGCCAGCCGTGACCCCTGTCTGCCCTCCGGCAGGGAAAGGCAGGCAATGGCAGAGCCTGTCTCCCAGCTTCCTGCTCTGGCTGTGGAATTACAGCGCTCTGCTGGGACGGAAACAGGATCCAGGGACCCCGGTTCCCACACCGTGTGTGAGCTCTGGAGAGGCAGCCTGCTCGCTGGGCTCTTGCCAGAGCTGATAGGAAAAGGCCATTCTTCACACGCCCTGTCACTGACCGGTTCGCACTTTGACTGATCCCCCCCTGTTTTTCTTCCGTCACAGGCATCCCGACTCTCATCGTCCTGGACCCCAAGGGAGAGGTGATCACGCGGCAGGGGCGGGGGGGGGGGGTGAACGACATCGAGTGCCGCGAGTTCCCCTGGCACCCCAAGCCTGTGCTGGAGCTGACAGACTCCAACGCTGTGCAGCTGAATGAGGGCCCCTGCCTCGTCCTCTTTGTAGGTACGGAGTGCTCGGGAAAGGGGGCTGAGAACCTGCCTGCAGTGGTGACAGTGTCCGTGGGAAGGGACATCCGCCTGTTTCCATCACCAGGAGCAGTGCTACAGGGTCTGGAGAGGCCACGGGGAGACAGAGGTCCGTGTGGAATCCCCTCGAGGGATTCAAGGGGGCTAACAGACCTGGAGCCTTGTGCGTATCGGAGAAACGGGCTGCTGCAGCTCGCCGGGGTTTGCCAGAGCCTGCCCGTGCCCACACGTCTCCCGCAGCTCCAGTCCTCACCCGAGGGATGTGATGGAGTAGCAGTTCACAGTGGAGAGGAGCTGTCGTATCGAAGATGGTTCGGCAGCGGCTGCAGAGAGGAATGCTGATCAGGGGTCGAGTAGTACGAGAAATACACTGTCACAGCTGGAGGTGGGGGTGGGAAAGGCCTTTTCTGGAGCAGGGACTTCAGGCACACGTGACTTTCTAGAGGAGGCAGAGGACGTGTCTCTGGGAGGGATGACTGCTCTGTGCTGGAAACCACAGCTTGGAGCTGTAATCCCTGAGCTGGGCAGGGCTGGGACAGTCGGAGGAGCCTCTTGCATGGGCTGCTGATCCTTGGGTGTTCCCCCCGTGGAGCGCTGAGCAGGGCCTTTCCCCAAAGTCCCTCTTCCACTGCTAACCCACACATGAAGACCCACACATGAAGCTCCCCTGCAGTTGGAAACAGCCTTAGAACTCATCCGAAGCACAGCGTGCTCGTTCCCCATCGCTCCCCTGCCAGCGATGGATGGCTAAATCCGGCGAGGGCTGTAGCCAGGATGTGCTGCGGTGCAGGCTGAGCCCTGGGCCGCTGGCAGAGGGGTGGGCACAGCATCCCAGGGAGCAGCCAAGGGGTCCCGGGCTCTCGAGGGGAGCGTAACTGTCCCGTGAGCGCTCTGTGGAGCGGCCGGGGGGGGCGTTTGCTGAAGAAGCCCCCCTTGCCCCGAGCCTGTCGATGTTGTGCAGGGGGCCTGGCCTGGGGCAGGGCGCGTGTCCC